TTTTTTGGCCCAAATTGATTTCAACTTTCTTTTGTTTTCCAATTTAAAGAAAAATAAAAAATAAAAATAACTAATAAAACAAAATGAAATTAAAACAAATAACAATATGGCATTTCAACATAATTATCATACCAAGTAAGTTAAATCACAACCTAAAACGGACGATGCACATATATTTATATTTTTGAATTTTCTTTTAACGCCACATATATTTTTTGTATTTTTGTTTGATAATGACTAGATGCAAAATGGACAGACTCACAAACGACTAACAAAACATGTCACGGAAAGACCGAAAAATTGTACAGCGAAGCCTTTTGCCACTATTTTTATTTTCTTTTGGAGCGATTGTCCGTGAAGCAAAAATCACGTGCTTACATCAGGAATGATGATTTCAAGGTGAAATAAATTTATTCAAGTTAATATGACTGATTTATTTATCGAATCTATTCCAATAATTTTCGAAGATGGTGCACAAAATTGGAATGCAAAGACTCAAATATCTGAATTGATGCTCTTATCAGGGGGAGTTAATACGTGATGATAGGCTATAATTACGTATTTTTAGTCGCCTATTACACTCAAATTTACTGCACTTTAGTTGAGTTTGCGCTTTAATCGCTAGTGTTTTGCACTAACAATATATTTTATGCCTTGTAGGAGTGATTCCAAGCTATATAGATATTATGGAACAAGTGATTTAGAGCTTTGAAGTCTGAGTAAAAGACCAAGAAATTAAGTCGAGATCGTATTCGGGGTTCAACGGATGATAGAGCAACAAAACGAAGAATCGAGTAGGCATATTGTGCACTGTATAGTAAAATATATATAACTTTTTGGTCAAAACTCCATTTGGGCTCCACAATATATGGGTGGAAAGCTAACTCAAAGGGATATAACTTTAATGTTTTATGTTTTTTCAAATTCCAAATGAAACAGAGTGAAAAATTCAGTCTAAATCGCGACCGCGGACCTGACGCGGACAAAAACAGTAGCCTTGCAATGTACCGCGCCCGTACTGCAGTTGACCGCGGTCGTCCAGACCTGAAAAATTTGTCTTTTTTCGCGTAGGAGAAGGTATAATTATTTGGGTCCGACCCTACTTGGTATATATACATGGGAAAACGGTATTTTAAGAGGTTGGACACACTTTTGACATAATTTAGACCTAAAGAGGCAGGAGGAGACCGATTTTGGACACGGATTTGACCTAATGAGGCAAAGACACAATCGGTGCAGGGGGAGGAATTCTTCTACGAGTTTTTCCTTCCCCTTCCTATTTTTCATTATTGATTATGACTTTTAGTATTTTAATTTTACATACTATTATGAATAGCTAATTTGTTATCTAGGGTTTTGATAGAACCTTTTGTAGGATAAATTCTTGTTATGTTTTTATATAATTGAACCATTGGATTTCTCTACTTGTTCAACTACGTGTTTATTGTTGTTGATTGACTGGCCATCGATTGACTGTGTCTATTTATTATATGTTGCTTGAGAAAGGATACATATTTAGGCGGTTGTTGAACAACGTCACTCCTAACGTATATGAGAAATCAATACAATGGGTTTAAAGGCAGGTTTAGAAATAACAAAGCCTTGACGTGGTCATAATGAGCGGTTAGATAAAGCCAACTAGCGTAGTTCGAGAGAATATGTCTAGTAAATTGTTGTGGTTGCTCGAGAGAGAATTACGGCACCTAAAGTGCTCACGATCAGTAGAGAATATATTGGCAAATTGTACGGAACATGGCTAGAAGGATTACGACAATTGGGGAAATCATAACTCTAGACTTCCTTAATTTAGTCTCCAACCCTTTGTCTCGTTAGTTGATAATTTTACCGCTTTGTAGTATTTGCTAGTTAATTAGTTAGAAATATAAATCTCAATTTTTATAATTGAGAAAATTGTTCAATCTTGTCTTCTTAGTGATATTAAATAGATACAACTAAGTCTTAGTTCTCTATGGGATTCGACTCCGAACTTTTAGACCGGATTATATTTGCAGCGACCGCTTATCCTTTTTAGGACTAGAGTTGAGCGTGATCAATACGCATTGTACTCTTTTTTCCGTACAAGGTTTTGTCCCACTGGATTTTCCTTGCAAGGTTTTTAACGAGGCAACCAAAAAACGTATTGTTAGATATGTGTACTCGTTTTCCTTCTCTAGATTTTTTCCACTTGGTTTTATTTAGTTAAGATTTTAACGAGGTACATTATCTGTTGAATAGACATTTAAGGGGGAATGTTATAAATAGTATTTTATTTATGGTGAATGTCTATATTTTAGAGAGATTTAGGGTTTGTTACTTGGTGGCTAAGTCACTTTTCCCTATAAATAGAGGGGGTTCTATTCCATTGTAATTGATCCCAAATCAATAAGAATTCTCTCTCCGTACTTTTCTCTGCAATACTCTTCTTCTTTTATTGTTTTATAACAGTTAGAGAGTTTTATTAACAATCAAATAAACCCACAAAAAATATTAAACTTCGCATTGATTTTAGCACTATCAAACATCAGATGAAAATAAGTGATTTTACATTTTTAAAAAATAGAAACCTTTGTCGAATTTGGGATTGAAAGAAAGGTTTTATTTTATTTATTTATTGGTCTTTTCGTGTCACCTGAAAATACTAGCAAGTGAAGTTGATTAGTTTTAACAAAAATTTAAAGGTTACAGCTAGTTTAAGAGTTTTGAAACAAAAGTATAGACTTTTATACATCAAGAACAATTATTTGTTATTGATTAGTATACAATAAGGGCTATAGTCCAACCCAATACATTAAGGACCAATTTTATTATTTTCTCTAATATATAACTAATCAATTGGCAATTGATTTATAAAACATAGTTATTGTGTGCATAAAAAAGTAGGGAAACTTAGACAAATATTCCAAATAAGGTTCAACTTACCAACCTCTAGCCATTAGTTATAGACTTACCAAAACTAGTCAAACACATATAAAAATTGAAAAATCAAATAAATAAGGTTCTTTCTCTCAAAGAATCACATGCAAAAATCACCTTCCATATATTTTAAGTGTGATTAGCAACATTAGATACAAGACGGAAAGAAAATTTCATGGATGAGGTAGCAAATAAGGTGAAAAAATACAAAAAAATATATACAATATTCCAAAAATCTAAACAAAAAAGTAATTTTTTAATGGGTATAGTTGCAATTTATTAAAAACATATAGATAAGTCAATATATAAAATTTGAGGAAGATTGGAGGTGATTTGGACTGGTTTTGTATCAAAATTCGTAATGAAATCGAGTTCAAAAAATTCTTCTACGACACATGTATCAAACATGTATCACGCGTGTATCTCACAAACGAGTATACATGGATATACATTTGATACACAATTGATAGAAATATGATACATATGTGATACACAAATGATATACAATGTGATACATATATCATTTTTTTCATATTTAGTTTTTACTTCGAATTTTCAATTCAAACCACCTCAAAACTTCACCAAATCGTCCCCAAACTGAGATTCAAGCTCCTTAAGATCTACCGAATCTATTCTAATAGCACCCACTCAAAAGAAAGCAAATATTTGATTTTTTTTGCTACAAATAGCTAATTGGCTAATATTAGTAATATTTTAGGAATTGACCAATTTTTATATTGAGCTACTTATAAATGGACATAACTGGTAGTTTTCCAAAAAAAATAATAATAGTATTATGTTCTTTTTGCTTTTGACCATGTGTCAAGTACCCACTCGAAGCAAGCCAGTTGATTAATAGTATATTATTTAGAATAAGTTTTCCAGATTAAATATCTAAATATTGATGTGTATTAAGATTAAGATATTTGAATATGATTATAGATCTAAATACTGAAATATATTTGATTTATACGTCTTAATCTTAATATTTAGGTGTGCATTGAGATTTTTATGTCTTAGAATCTTAATCTTAAGAAAAACAAACATGGCCGTATGACAACATTGGTTAAGCAAGAGGTTAGAGCTACAAATTAAGAAAGAAAAAGGGCTGGAGTGAATTTTCATAGACTGAAGGGGTTATGTGTAGTTCCACAAAAAGTCAATAGATCGCAGTATTGGTACTCAAATTTGCCAGACGATTGCCGGAACTGAAAAAAAGCTCCCCTTTCCGGGAATGGCAGGAATGGCGATGTTTGCCTCAAATCTCTCCAGCGAGGTATAGTCTCTCAATCTCTGAAGTTTTCACACACTCACATATTTAGGATGTGTAGTTGCGTATAGTAACTATCCTTTTTGCTGCCCGTTCTGATCCGTACTATATTTCATATATAAATTAGGGTGCTTTTAATCTAACTGGGATTCGTTGCAGGATCATTAGCAATTAAGAGGTTTAGTATATGCTGATGCTTCGATTTATCAGAATATTGAAAGATACTTATCGACTTATCGTCAGTATATTCTCCCAGTTACAACAACTCTTCTTTTTGTTAATTGTTTGACCAAAAAGTGTTAAGCTTTTTGTTAAACTAATTAATGAGAAGAGAAGGATAAATCTTAGCCAATGATAATTAACTCTAGATCAAAGCATGCTNGGGGTGCTATTGATAGCTAAGGGATCTGCCTTTATTGATTCAACAACGATGATTACAAAGATTTGCAACAAGGATCTAGACTTTTATTTTGTGGTTGTCAGAGGTTCTCTTTGTTCTTCTGTCTCCCTTCCTTGGAGGAGGAGAGATCCCCTTTCTTATCTTCTTACCTACTAAATATACTATCAGTATTCCCTTTTGTCCATCGGTCCTTAATCGGAATGCCTTCATCCCTTGACTGTCCTTCACGTCGCCTCCCTCAAATATCACGATTTTTACTTCACCCTACAGGCTTTTGGGATGGCTCGATCTCGGCAGTGGCCGAGGTCTTTGTTGTTATTACACCCCGTGGGTATGACCACAGCTTAGTCGACCTCTTACCATCCCTGTTAGCGCTAATCCACGTGTGGTCAGATTTTGATCCATACAGTTAGTCCCTCCGTCCGTTGGGGTCCCTCCGTCAGTTGATTCAAAAATCGGGAGAAATCTGAATGCTTTATGCGAGGGCCGAGGACCTCATGGCGAGGCAGCGACGTGACGCTTCGAGGATCGCGTTGGACCGTTATGTCAGTTCAAGATTGAACCGTCACGTCAGTTCAAGATGTCATCAATATTCCCCATGCGTCATTATCGCGCACGTTTTCTAGGTGTTGTATCGTTTCCCCTACCTTTTCCGTTTTCTAACTGGCAGCTCTTGGTTTTCCTGCTCGGGACATTTATATCCCTATAAATAAGGGGGGAACCCTCTCATTTGAAGGTTACGTTTTCCGATTGCTTAAGGGAGAATTTCGCAAATCTTCTCCTCTTTCTTTAATCTTTCATATTTCTGCCTCTGCTAAGATTCGTTGTGGCCATCATCTATTTGTTTCATCATCTTCGTTTCTTTTGATCAAAGAAAACAAATGGCTAGTTCTTCTTCCCATTCTGACAGAGTTGTAGGTGCTCCGGTGCCGGAGAATGACGTATCCCTACTAGAAGAGGGAGTGGAAGTGGTGGAAGATGAGGGGTTTCCATCGGTGGATGAGGTGGTTCCCCGCCCGGGGAAGGCGAGGACCTATTTCAACAGCCCCATCGGAGATGAACCGAAGCCCGTTCCTTCCACGATGGATGCTGAGGCGATCACAACGTTTAAAGCCAAATGGGGGATTCCCGTTCATATTGAAATGGTGCCGGCGGATAAGGATATAGTGCATTTGCACCTCCAGGGCTACTGCGCGTTTTACGCGTATCCCTTTGTTATTGGGTACACGCTTCCCCTTCCTTGGTGGTGGATTTTTGCCGTTACTATGAGGTGTGCCCGACCCAACTCTCTCCGTACGCGTACAAGCTCTTTCTTATGCTTATCAAGTACGCAGAGCTGGCCGGTCGAGGAATCTCCCTAGGACACATGCTTCACCTCTTTGCCCCCCATTTTCTTCGAGGTACGATGATCCATATGCGTCATCGAGGGACCAAGAGTTTGGTGGTGAAGATGGACGATAAGGCTAACCGCCGCTTTTGGGAGAGTTATTTCTATGTCTGAATAAGGCATATCGTGTCGAACCCTGCAGTGTTTCTTGAGACGTGGAACTTCGCTCGTGAGTTTTCCTGTTTACTTTATGCAATTTTTCTTAAGACGGTCATCAGTCGTCTCCTATTCACGACTTCACTGAGGAGTTGCTTTATTTTTGCAGCCGAGAGACTACCTCCCTCGCTGGTCGTCGATATCCGCGAATGGGTCAGCGCAATTCTCCCCGACACGATGAGGATTCATGAGTGGGCGCCTTTCCATGAGAAGTTTGGGTGCAAGCCTCTTACTGGTGAGTTGGCTCGTCGTAGTTTTGCTTTGTTCTTTGTTTCATAGTTTCTTCAACTTTGTCATTATATGATCGAATTCCTCCTTATTGACAGGTCGGAGAGGAGTAAGAAGGAGGAGGGCTCCTCCGCTCGCATTCTGTCAACCGGTGCCCTCTGCTCGGCCTGCACCAAAAGCTACTGCCTGGCCTGTGCCCGCAGTCGAAACCGTGCGCTTGGAGGTTACTCCTCAACCGGAGACTCCGGTTCTCGCAGTTCGTTCAACGAGCGAATCTTCCCGCGTCGGTAGTGGAGAGGCCCCGTCGAAGAGGCGAAGGGTAGTGTTGGAAGGGGCTTCTTTAGCCGAAACACCCTCGAGGGGCGACCTTGTTTCGACGGCGCCCGAGATCGGTGGTGGTGCCAACCTGGATATGGAGGCGACTCCCGTTGCAAGCGTTCAAGAGGCTACTGTGACGGAGGGACGAAGTTCTAAGGCTGATATTGTTGTTCCGAGCAGGCCTTCGTCATCTCGGCCGAACAACACCCCTTCTTCGGCCAATGAGAGGGGGGAAAGGTGTCATGGTTGAGGATTATGAATCCGAATCCGACATTGACCCTGAGAACATGAGGATATTCGAGGAGGGTTTTACCCGAACTGTGGTAAGAGCGGAAGGCCCTTCCCGAATACTCGAAATTCCATCGGATCTCAACCTGTTGCAAGACACGGTTGATTTGGTGCCACAGTTCGATCTTCTATGCTCCGCCGCTGAGAGCGAATCCCTTCAGGAGGTCAACGATTCTGGGTTGTCACGCGGTGTGGCCGCGATGGCCTTAAGTCCCCTTTTGGTTTCTTCGTTTTGTGACCTTTGTTTTTACACTGACTCTTTCTTCCCTCTCTTTTTTTTAGACTTACATGCTGGAGATCGAGAGTGCTCGCAGGGCTGAGACGCGAGCCAAGATTTTTCTGAAAATGGCCGAGAAGTATCGGCGGTATCGCAACAGATGCCGTGAGATGCACTAGCAGCTCAGAGCGGGCGCTAGTACCTAGTCTACCAGGGAGGAGTTGAAGAAAAGAGATGAGGAACTGATGCGGTCTATCCGCAGATGCAGTGAGCTTGAGGAGTTGCTCCATGCCAAGGACGAAGAGCTCGAGGTGGGCAAAGGGATTGCCGCGAAGTGCGAGGACTTTCAGGCGAATGTACTATCTTTACGAGCTGAGCTTGAGCAAAATGCTACTAAGGTCGACACTCTGAGTGTAGAATGGGCGGAGAAGGTGGCCGAACTAGAAAAGAAAGTGGCCGAGATGGAGAGAGCCGAGGATGCTCGAGTGTTGGCTTTGGCGAGGGCGGCGACGCTAGAGGACACCATTCGTGTCCTCAAGTCTGAGCAGGAAACTGAGAGGGCGACGATCACACTGAGGGAGGCATGACTCGAGTAACGTATTGGTGAAATTGACCGCGAAGCTTCGAGCCTAGGAGACCGGGTCGCAACTCTAGAGGCCGAGAAGGCGCAACTATTGGCTCAGATCGATTCTGCCTCTGTCGCTGTCCCCCGCTGCTTGTATGAGTTATGGGTCCATGTCGAGGCCCAACGTGATATATACAAGGGTTTGTGGGAGGCAGGGAGTATCCTTGAGGCCGCCTTTGAAGATGCTCGGGCGAAGGCATGCGAGGCTCGTATTTTTGCGGTTACGACCCTGCGACATCGGAGGCTGGTGAGGGCGTTGAGGTTGAGGATGGACTTTCTGATGATGATGATGATGATGTGGAGAACGGCGGTGGAGATGACTCCGAGTGAAACTTTGTCGCAACATTTGTACTTTTTTTTTGTTCTTTTGTTGTTTAGTTTCAACTTTTTCTTGAGGGCCTGCTTTGGCCTTTTGTAAGGTGCGACTGTTGCGCATGTACATTTGAATAAAATAGTTGCTTCGTCTTTGTTTGTGTATCTTTTGACTTTCTTTCTTGGGGAGAAGATCTTCGGATTTCTCCGTGACAAGTCCCTGAACTTTTAATTGGGAATCCGACTTCGCTCGGATCAAATTTGAGTCAGATTTCGTGGTGTGAGTTCGAATGGAGTCGCCCCGGATCTGCAAGTTCGGACGAGGTCGACTTCTGATTTGCCAACTTGGGCTGAATCAACCTTGATTTGTCTATTCGAATGAGGTTGAATTGACTTGCCAACTTGGGCGAAGTCAATCTTGACTTAAGTATTCGAACGGGGTCGAACTTAGACTTGCCAATTTGGGCGAAGTCAGTCTTGACTTATATATTCGAGCAAGGTCGAACTTAGAGTTGCCAATTTGGGCGAAGTCAGTCTTGACTTATATATTCGAGCAAGGTCGAACTTAGAGTTGCCAATTTGGGCGAAGTCAGTTTTGACTTATATATTCGAACGAGGTCGAACTTAGAGTTGCCAATTTGGGTGAAGTCAATTTTGACTTATATATTCGAGCGAGGTCGAACTTTCCTTTCATTTGGCGATAGCCGATGGCCGTAAGGGTGTTAATTCGAGCGAGGTCGGTATTGTAACCCGTTTGTAAATTCGAGCGAGGTCGAATTTTCCTTTCGTTTGGCGATGGTCGATGGCCGTAAGGGTGTTAATTCGAGCGAGGTCGGAATTGTAACCCGTTTGTAAATTCGAGCGAGGTCGAATTCTCCTTTCGTTTGGCGATGGCCGTAAAGGTGTTATCGAGCGAGGTCGGAATTGTAACCCGTTTGTAAATTCGAGCGAGGTCGAATTCTCCTTTCGTTTGGCGATGGCCGTAAAGGTGTTATCGAGCGAGGTCGGAATTGTAACCCGTTTGTAAATTCGAGCGAGGTCGAATTCTCCTTTCGTTTGGCGATGGTCGATGGCCGTAAGGGTGTTAATTCGAGCGAGGTCGGAATTGTAACCCGTTGCATTACTTTTATTGAATGTTACTCGTCGCCGTATTGTTTATGCGTGCGTCGGGGTGAGTCCCGGTTTGCTTAATTTTGCTTTCATTAGAGAGTACTGTGCGTTTCCTGGGTGAGTCCCAGTCTGCTCAGTTTGCTTTCATTGGGGAATACTATGCGTTTCATGGGTGAGTCCCAGTCTGCTTAGCTTTGCTTTCATTGGGGAATACTGTGCGTTTCATGGGCCCATTGCTCAGTCTCTTGTTCTGGAGATTGTTTCTTAGTAGTCGACCTGTGCTGAGCCGTTTCTATTATTTGTAGTGCGGTACGGCTTAGAGGGCTTTGCTCGGTCATTGCTTGCGAGATGGTATGGTACGGAACCTTCTCCTGGTGTGTTTTGGTGGCGTTCGTTCCTTGTTCGCGTACCTTTAAGAACGCTCGTGTTCTTGTTCTGAACCAAAAAGGGAGCATGATAAGCTAAACCCAAACGAAATTGCTTGTTACCTTGGCCTGGTAAACGGTGAGAGGGGGTGCGGCGCTGTAGGGTCACTCGCTTCGCCTCGTGCTCGAATGACGGTTTCAGATTTGGCAGCCGTGTTCGGCTTCGTCGTTAGTCGCGTCTAGGCCTCTCATGGGTTGGACTTACCTTGCCCGTTGGGGTATCGAGATCGAGTCCCAATCCGATATGTGCAAACAATAAGGGAAACATGTCATACTTTGCTCATAAATCACACGGTGCGTGTGGGTATGAAAATGAGGCAGGGTATGCCCGTTATTTCAAAGAATCACACAGTAGGATATTGTCTCTTCCTAAGGGGTGGAATTACATGCCGGTATATAAGGTGAATATGTCAAATGGGATTGCGGTCATGTTAAGTGCATAGTGACCGTGCGGTCATGCTAAGTGCATAGTGACCGTGCGGTCATGCTAAGTGCATAGTGACCGTGATCCTGCTTTAAACATGCATATGACGTGCCAAACCTATCGCTAAAGATGAGGCGTGGGTTTTGCATAGACATCGGGCATAATTTCTATTTCGTGTAGGGACCTGACCTAGATTGGTTTGGTTATCTCAAAAGCTTATCTACCACTTTTTCGAGTTGGTGTTTATACCGAGATGGTGATGCTATGACAGCCTGGGAGTGATACTTGGCTGGTTTTAGATCTAAAGGAAACTAAAATTTTGGCTAAGAAATCCCCACAGACGGCGCCAAATTGTTTGACCAAAAAGTGTTAAGCTTTTTGTTAAACTAATTAATGAGAAGCTGAATTAATTCTAGATCAAAGCATGCTAAAGACGAGAACAAAATATAATCAAGCTCATAACTCTTTTTAATGTTATAAAGATATCAAATATAAATGACAAGCTTACATTCTCGATGCATTGTTCCGTAATGTAAGAGCGAAGAAGAAAAGGGGGGGGGGGGTGCTATTGATTATTGATTCAGCAACGATGATTACAAAGATTTGCCACCAGGATCTAGACTTTTACTTTGTGGTTGTCAGAGGTTCTCTTTGTTCTTCTGTCTCCCTTCCTTGGAGGAGGAGAGGCTCCCTTTCTTGTCTTCTTACCTCCTATATATACTATCAATATTCCCTTTTCTCCATCGGTCTTTAACCGGAATGCCTTCATCCCTTGACTGTCCTTCACGTCGCCTCCCTCAAATATCACGATATTTACTTCACCCTACAGGCTTTTGGGATGGCTCGATTTCGGCAGTGGCCGAGGTCTTCCTTGTTATTACACCCCGTGGGTATGACCACGGCTTAGTCGACCTCTTACCATCCCTGGTAGCGCTAATCCACGTGTGGTCGGATTTTGACCCATACATTAATAAATGGCGAATTACAAACAACTCGCCAACTTGCATGCACATGTGTACCGGGTAACTCTGTCTACCAATGCTTGGAGATGGGAAGAAATTACCTAGTGTTTTTTGAACAAATTTTTTAATATATAAGTTAAATAATGATATATTCATTCAAACGGGCCAAGAAGGTGCTAAAATGAGTGTTACAACTTACATACAAAAGTTCTGGCCCAATGTTTCAGATAGGGAGTTTAATCTTCATTCAAAGCATCTCTGATTACTCTTTTTTCCCAAATAAGACATATACTAGAAGTGTTTCAGACGATTCTATTGCTTTCCTGAATTTTCCTCTCCTTTTAGCTAAAGAAAAATTGTCTAATATACTTACACACCACCCATTGTACCGCAGAAAGACTCAGAAATGTACACAAGATCTGAAAAACTAATGGGCAGTGTAAAATTAGGATGATCTACATTTTTGAATTCTCATTTCTATGTAACATCTGCTGCATATTATAAATCCCCCTTTTCTTAAATGTTTTTTTCATTTTAAAGTCAGGCATGTTAATGAATTTCTTGTGGATGTTTCATCGATTACCTATCCAACCTAACAATTTTCCTTGAAATACTAGATTGAGGGTTCGTGGGATATCAGTCCTTATATTAGGAAAAGAGGTATCCAGTCCTCCCGGATTAGATTGAATAAGTGAAATAGTGTGTGGATTGAATTTCTATTTCATGTCTGGCATGAAGGATGATGCACCAGAGAAATACAGATTAATTTTTTCATTTCCATATGCCTCTAATTAAATGAAAGAATTTCACTAAAAAGTCAGATGAAGGATCAAAAACACAACAGAAGAATCTCTTATATTAGAGGATTATTTTGACATTTGGCCTTTCAGAGGGATCCCCCACCCACGGTAGATGACAGTGAGGGTTTTCCAGATTGGCCTGCCAAAGGTGGGATTAGAGTAGATAAATCCCAACCAGTCGATCTCCAATCCCTCATGCTAAACGACCCTAAAGGTGTCAACATTAGTATAAAATAAATGAATTGATCAGATTGGAAAGGGTAGCAACAACAACAACAACAACAACAACTTACCCAGTATAATCCTACAGGTGAGGTCTTGGGAGGTTAGTGTGTACGCAGACCTTACCCCTACCTGGAGAGGTAGAGAGGTTATTTCCGATAGACCCTTGGCTCAAGAAAAGGTGGAAAGGAAGAAAAGGGAAGAAGAAGAAGAAAGAGGGGGGAGAAAGTTCGATACCTACTGGGTGCAAACAATTTCTGAGGGCCATCGGACTGGGTAAAACTTGAATTAACCGTGGTGCACTTGCGGGAAACTCCTTGCCGAGGGCCTGTGCACCCCCGGGATTAGTCGGGGCTCGAAGAGACTCGGACACCCGGTGCAAATCAAAAAAGAAAGAGGGGGAAGAAAGAAAGAAGAGGGAGACAAAAGACGATAAGGAAAAAGGGGAGAAAAAGTAGCATCAAATAGTAACAATCAGGGAGCAACAATTTCCAGTAAAACGGAGAAAAAGTAGCATCAAATAGTAATAATCAGGAGTAGCAATTTTCAAAACAATGGACGTGGTTGCTAAGTACCAGATATAATAGCAAACTAGAAGAAAGTATCTTTCAACCAACAACAAGAATATTGTTAGTACTACTGGTAAACCTAGGAGAAACTCACAACTACCTGTCAACCCACCACCTTAATCCTCGATCTTCACACTTTCTTATCGCTAGTCATGTCCTCGGTTAGGTGAAGCACCGACATGTCCTGCCTAATCATCTCTCCTCAATACTTCTTTGTCCTACCCCTGCCCTTCCTCAAGCCCGCCATGGCCAACCTCTCACACCTCTTGACCAGGGCATCTATGTCTCTCCTCCTCACATGCCCAAACCATTGCAGCCTCGATTCCCGCAACTTGTCTTCCACGGATGCCACTCCAATCTTGTCCTTAATAACTTCATTCCTAATCTTGTCTTTCCTAGTATGTCCACACATCCATCTCAACATCCTCATTTCAGCTACGCTTATATTCTGGACATGGGACTTCTTGACGGGCCAGCACTCAGCTTCATACAACATAGCCGGTCTAACCACAACCCTGTAGAATTTGCCCTTAAGTCTAGGCGGCACTTTCTTATCGCATAAAACCCTCGAAGCTAGCCTCCATCTCATCCAACCCGCTCCAATGCGGTGAGTAACATCCTCGTCAATCTCCCAGTTGCCTTGAATTATAGACCCAAGATACTTGAAACTATCTATTTTGGGAATGACTTGAGTATCAATCTTTACTTCCACTTCTTCTTCATGCCTCTCAGATTGGGAAGGGCATTAGAAGCATAAATAGAGTATTGTCATTTTTGTAATGCTTTAATATTCTGAGGAAATATCGTAACAGACAGTAATCTGTTAGATCTTCTTGCTTGTTATGGTTACTTGGCAAGTAGGTAAAATTTGTGAGTATCCTAAACTACTTCCCCCCGTCTTAAAAGTGTTTGAACTGGCCAACCAGTCATGTTCTACAGCCCTGATGTCCGTCTTACAAGTTTTTGTTTTCAAGCTTCACTAAAACTACTCTTCTATTACTGGTCATCCTTGCGCTTATAACTTTCATTTATGTCATGCATCCAGAAGGTGTTGTATTTTTCTTCTTCTCTGCTCTCACATCACTTTCATTTGATGCAGGTTGGGTTAAAATTGCTTCTTAGTCCGCTTAATACTAATGTTGTTGTCCGCACTGCATGGTGAGCTCTTATTCGAGTTTGGAGATTTTCTTTTCATGATCCAATTGACTTTGCCTACAGTCACTTTTAAGGTTTAAGAAGGAATTCTACACTGTTGCTTGGGATGAGCCAGATGCAAAAGTTTCATATCCATTTCAGAATCCTTGTTTCTTATTGATATTCTGAATTCTATGTTTTAGCTGCATTTATTATTTGGCAAAGTGGAAGATTCTAGTTAAACTTTTAAAGGTATTTGCAGCTGTTCTGTGGGCATTCTTTTGCCTGTTTATTCTACTTTCAAAGCAATTGAGATGAGGGATCAAAACGAGCAACAGAAATGGCTTCTGTACTGGGCAGGTGATGATGCTTTTCAAAACATTACAAATATTGTTTTGCTTTGAAAATCTTGAAATTCCTTTTTTCTCCACAAGATACTAAGATATTCTCACCACAAAGTATCTCCGCTAAGAGTTCTATTATATGTCCTTACCAAAAGAAGAGTTTCATATGTACTTCTGTTTTCCGTAATACCGTGTGAAATCATTGCTGGGCGATTAACCTGTAGAGTTTCATTTGAAAAGCAATAAAAAGAAGCTATTGAGTCTACACAACAAGAACTTAAGTTAAATCTTCCTTTAAATCATCTCATTTTTTTAAGAATGGCGTTGCTACACTTGTATATCTCAATACTTGCTAAGACACCTAATTTGATATACAACCTCAGCAGAAATTGGGCTGTCGATACAGATTGGTGTCTATCTTTTTCTTCCACTTCTGGTTATTGATTCTATGATTGACACTAACTTCATCTTTTTGGAGGCAATTAAGCAATGCNACACACACACAAAATAAGTAAATAATAATATAATAAAAGAAACCCTCACTCCATGAATACTTTGCTTTACTGGTGGCTTATGCTTAACCAATTCAAGGCCTAATCACTGTGGATTGGAGGCCTCACGGTAACTAGTTAGACTTTTAGGTTATTGTAATTATCTCGCCCATATGTCTCTGTTCAGTCAAGCATAACCTACTCTCCCTCTCTCTGCTTGCAGCATATGGATCTTTCAGTATTCTTGAAGCATTCACGGATAAATTTCTCTACTGGTGACTACTTTCACTTCCTTTTTCTAATTTTTTTTATAGCCAGTAATGTGTTTAAATGAGGTTATTTTGGGAATACCAAAGTAACATGGAAGAGCTTTGTCTTATTTCATAGGTTCCCACTATACTATCATGTGAAGTTCGCATTTCTTGTTTGGCTTCAACTTCCATCTGCTGATGTGAGTTCAACAGATATTTCTGTTTCTTGAAGTTTTATCTTTTTCTTCCCTTTCCATTTTGCTTACCTGCTTTGGGGAGGATGGATGTAAAACAATTTCACTATCATGGTTTATATCTCCTGAATATATCCTGCCCATTTCAAAAGGTAAGTGCTTGGGAAATATAGCCAGCACCTCTTTACCGTTACAAAGACTATGACTTTGGGAGCTTACTACTTCTAATTGGATACTCTTTCCATATGAAAGCCAATTGTTGATTCTGCTGGTGAGAGAAAACCGAGGAAGGATAGAAGAATAACACGTTTGGGAGGAGAAGATAGAGGAAGTAGGTGTAGTGTAGGTTTCAAACAAGAGAAAAGGAACATGCAGCTTAGGTTTCACACCGGCGTCAAGGAAGGCGGAGTCTAAGGATGGTTGAGAGATGAGTGGGTGGCGGGTGGGTGAGGGGAAGCTAGTGAATCTGGCAGACAGTGGAAAATAGAGAATGGCGAGGATAGTGAACTAAGTTTAAAAAAAAAAATAATCATCATGGGGGGCCTTCTGTGACTTTTTTTAAAATTAGCATTAAAATGTCCTAATCTCAACACACTTGCGAGCGTGTCAGGCCAAATAAAAAAATATCTAGCTGCTTTTGAGGTGAATTCTGCTGAACTGCTTAATTAGAGTTAATGATGTAGCTTTAGCTTGAAGTTTATACTTACCATTTCACTGAAAATGGATTTTTGGAAAGTGATGCACTTCTTTGGTGTTACACAGGGTGCTAAGCAATTGTACACAAACCATCTGCGCCCTTTCCTCATGAGACATCAAGGAAGACTGGATAATATTTTGGAATTATTTCATGGAGTACTGGTAAAAGTTATCTATTATTGTATGTCATAAATTTGACTTTGAAATGTGTTGATGCAACTTGCCGATTAATTTAACGTTATGTAAAATGTAATCTAATTCAATTTACTAGGATGTAACATTCTGTCACTTGATGCTTTGGCTCTTTTTCAAAGATTTTCATAAATTCCAGAGTAAGGTTGGATGAAACTGTGCTTGTGCATGTAAGTCAAAACGACTGCTTAAGGTTTTTGATCAGTAGTTTGTCTCTTATATGTATTGTGTAACTGCAGCTTCTTAAGGAATTTTTAATCGTAAATTCAGATTGTCTTATAGAAATATAATTTGCAGGCCAAATTTATTAGCACCCACCAAACAGAAATCCAGTTTGCTCAGATGCTTCTTGCCAAAAGTTTATTATCAGGTGATTCTTTCTTATAGTAACAGATTCCCTTCGTCTTATGTTTGTTTCCACAAGCTATTTCAGGGTGGACATCAGTATTTATCCATCCTATAATTATAGAAGAAAAGCACCTTCATATTTTAGTTTGGTATATGCATAACCCATTTAATTTACTTTTTTAGTTGGGAGTATTCTTCAACCTGGGCAAGGACGAGTTGTTGGTACAATTGAAGGTCCAGCAGTGCAAGTAGAGACTTCAGTACAGCAAGTAGAGACTTCAGAATCAGAAGATGAATCGTGATGCTTTTTTTTCAAAACCAGATGAAGTACCTTCTCTCTGTTGTACATCATATCAACTTAGTTTAGCTAGATTTTTTTTCTTGTTCTCAGCATGTTTGATGCAAAATATATAAAAAGTAATCAGAGTGTACATAATTTTCGGAGGAGTCAATTTTGTTGTGAGTTTGTGGTTTTCCTTCTTCGTTTTCCTGTAAATATTTATCAACAGAAAGTGCTGAACTCACCCACAATATTAAGTATTACTATGCATACAGGGGTAAGTTCTGCCTGCATACGACGCAGTACCTTTTTCAGACCCCACTTGGCACTTGTGGGAATATAGTGGATTTTTTATTGTTGTTTGATGTTGTTGTTATGAATAATTGCATATACCTAACATATAATCATACAAACTTTTTAAAAGATGATTTAAATTATTGAATTTGCTGAACAAGAACTGAGTAAATCCTAAATCTATATTCGCTCCAGATTAGATTTTCAATTAAAACTAGATTCATAATATTTGCCATCTCAAAATCCTAAAACATAACATAATCAGTGCGAAATTGCGAACTCTCAACTACCCGGGTCTTTATCGCATCTTTCAAATAAAT